AGCCAATTATGGTCCAGTAGTACTGTAAGCCAATTGAATACGCATGATGTCCTGGAAATATTCACAGACAACAGGCAGTCAAAACAGTGCAGCAGTGTGGCAAGAAAATGTAAAAGCCAAAGAAGACATAAGGAGGATTAAGAAGTTATTTACCCTATTGTTCTTACTACATCACAGGGATGTATTCTTTCATTGAATTAGATCATTACAAATGTTTGAGAATACAAATCCTCTTATTCCAAAACTCCAAAAATGCAAATAGTTCACTCTGTTAAGCATTGTATAATGACAGGGAGCATTAAAAGCTGTCAACCCTAAATAGAAAAAAATATTGTAAACCTTACTTATTATCTGGTAAATAACATAAAAGCATGCTAGATTGACTATTCTGTCCTTTGTCTACATTATTATCCAACAATACACCATTCAAACTTTCCAGACACCTGATGTCGAGTCAAAAACACCACAATCTGTGATGTTTTCTTGTTTTTTAAATCTCAATATTAAAGGGTTACTTCTTCTATGTAAAATTGACATAGAAATGAAAATAGTTCAAAAGGTTTTGTTCAGTTTTTTTAATTGGATGGGCATCCTAGTTTTGCAAAGGTGTAACGAGGGATTATGTGATTGGTGACACTGGTTGGCGGGGCAGTGTGTAAAGAGCACCATGAAAAAGCTACTGACTGTAAACAAGCTAAACTCTGATGGGATCAACTGTTTGAAATCACTGGAAATAAAACCTTCTGCGAAACGCAATTCAAAACAACTAAACCAAAACAGAGTTTGATACTTCTGTCATTATTTAGCCTGTGTAACTGATATATTTTTCCTAAAGTACATACATTTTTTTTTTAATATCCCTTAAATTCAAGGCAATAAAAGTAAAAGAAACTAACATTACAGAACTTTGATTGGGAAAACATGTTAGATTTCCATTTGTGATACGCTTTCACCCAGACTCTCTGTTAAAACATTGACTGTATTCATGTAAATAGTGAACAAGCTTAAAGTAAGAATATAAGTGGATTTATCTGGATAAGTCTTGGGGGGGCTCCAACTCAATTATCCCACGTCTGCAGAATTCCAGAGTAAGGGGTTAGAAAAAATCTGTTCATAAGAAATGTTTACTTAATCTAATATTGTGGTTATACTCAGCAACTTGCCTTTATCAATCAAGTGGTCGCCTCTCGTACTGTCACATTTTTTACTTTTGAAGTATCTGAGGGAGAAAGGTTTTTAAACCATGAATCAGGTCTCTGCATTCAGCTATTTAATTAGTTTTTACAATAGCAAGTAGCAAACACTTGAATGTATTATGTCTATATTGAGCTCTATAATACATGTGCCTACTAGGGGCCATCAAACAACAATGAACAATGTACTCTGAGCTTGAATACCTTTTATAATATTAATAGTTTATGACTGTTATAAACATTTGTCCTAGTTATAGTTTTATTTTCACAGTCATTAATTGTCACCTTTGATCAGTAACAATGAACATTATCTGAATTGATAATCAGTCTTAGCTAATAACATGTGGAAAATTAAACAATAAGGCCTTCTACTCTAGTATATTCTAAGTTACATTCGTATCCTGCTGATGTTGTGATATGCAAGTGATTTTTTTTTAATAGAAGAGGTGCATTCCAGATCTGCTTCTGAGAGTGCAGTAAGACATTAGCAGAATAAGAAGTGAGGGGTGAAGGGCTCTGAGAGATAATTGGTGCTGTTGTGTTTGTTATTGTGGGCTCAGGGCGGGGGAAGAAATTTGATCTGACTCTATTCTAGCATTACTCTTTTCTTGTTCACATAACCAATAAAGGAACAACAGAAGAAAGAAGAAAGGACAATATAACTATAGAATACAGTTTCACTTTGAACTACATGGAAGCGAGGTCTTTTATATGCAGCGTCTGAACTCTTGAGGTTTGTTTGTTTTTTAAAAATCACTAGACCGCTTAATCCAATGATCTGTCTATCTCTGACTTACGCCTGTCATCATTATCTCTCTCTCTGTCAGGAGACACAAGAGACATAAAACAAGCTTCTGCTTGTGGATCAGACTCCATGAATCACACCTGCAGTATAATAAAGACTTACATTAAAGTGGACCTATCATGCTATATTTGAATAATATATTGTAGGGCCATACCTACTGTATATAAGGTATATTTATACGTTTTATTTTTCAAAATACCAACAGATCATCATTTTATCCATTCCTCATTTCGCTCAATTTAACACTGTCTTTCATGCTCGGATTCAGTGAGAACAGCACCATCTGGTGGCCTGAAATATGTACTACAGCGTCTCCATCACTTTCGAACGGTCATGTCCGTGGCTGTCTCCTCCTGATTGGTGGAGTTGGCCCAATAGCCGTAGCGCCACCATCCTGATGTCAGAAAAGTGTTCAAATCTGGATCAGTATCAGATCCGTTGCAGCCCCTTTTTTTTAGAGATTTGGGTATGGAGGAAAAGAGAGAGGGTTGTGTTTTCTGACACTTGGTGAGTTCCCTGGAACACCGGGGACACATTCATGTATAAAAGACGTACAAAGGTGCATTTTGCATGATAGGTCCCCTTTAAGTTTATCTGTGGGTTGTAAGTGGCTGATAAGGGTGCAATTAAAAAAAATTGTTAATATTGAATTGAGTTACCACATCGAGGTAGCACAAGAAATAGTTCTGCGTATACTTTAGAGAAAACCCTGCTCCAAAAATAAATGTGCAGATAATATTGCCTGCAACGTTTCTTATCGCTGTCTCTATATGATCAAAGGTCCATAAATCTACATGTGATTATGTGCAAATGACCTTGTATTCAGTCTAAAAATGCATATTATTTACAAAAGATAATTTGATGCTGAGTGAGCGATATGATTTGATCTGTTCCCAGAGCAGTTTGACTTGTTTTCAGAAATCTGTTTATGTTGTACTGTATTATTTACGTCAGTTGAAAAGCTCCTGAATCCTATTAGACTTACAGAAAGCACAGATTTTATGTCATAGGTTCGATATCAAAGGTAGGATTCTGGCATTCATTACACAGATATTTTCTTGAGGGAAATTGTTCCTTTAAAGGGGTTACTGAGGGCATTCTCATTTTCTAAAAAAAGCGCCTCTACATTACATATCAGGAGTCAGTTGGTGAGAAGGGCATTGCTGAAATTACAGTTATTATGAGCACTGGGCGCCACCAGGGTGACACTTTTCTTTTATTGCTTATTTTGTTGAACACCTGTCTCTCTTTTTATGCTCCTTCTGACTCAGCTGACTTTCTGTCTGTCATTTAATGACTTGAGTCAACTGACAGGGAACTTGCTCGGGGGAAATGTTCAAATGTGTGTAATTACTGTGTGAACACTGGGCTTTTATTGTAATGTCTGGGAATGAAGGTGTTCATGAAGATAACCTGAGGCTGGAGTAAAATGTGTTTCAGGGTCATATTTAGTTCATTCATGAAGACTATACATTTTATATACAGGATGCTCTCTACATTTGTATCGTTGACTTTTAAAAATGATAGGGTTGATGAGAGTCACAGTGTGGTTTTTATATCATGACAAGTAGGAGTTGCCTTTTAAGGGATCATTATAATAGAGTCTTAAAAAGTAGAGCAGAAGAAAATACCTTGCTTATACAAAGAAGAAACATTAAGACTTCAGCAATGTCATTCAGGTTGCTTTGTTTGTTAGATCGCAGTTGCGAGACAACCTTGTCTCATCCTAGTAATTTTGGCCCTGTAGAACTGTCATTATTAGAGGAGTGGTCTTGATGAAAGAGTGAGTGCATTTTGGCTGCTAAATAGAGACATTGCTTCACACCTAACCACAATGACGACAGGTGTGTCTTACCTCATAACAACTGTGGGTTCAATCACATGCTACCAACAGCCATAATTATATAGTTCTCACCTTTTCACTTTGTTACTTATTTTTTAAATTACTGTAGCTACGTTTATCTTCCCCCGCAAAAATGGATCGAGATCATTTGTCACAATAAAACAACCTTACTGCAGTCCTTTAAAACTATTTAGTTTAAAAAGATACTCAAGATTTATCATAGGAACTCAAACTTAAAGTCTACTAATTGTTTTTCCTCTTTCTGAAATGGCAGTATTTATAAAGTGTTTTATAAGGATCTTAATAGTTCCGCACACATTTAAAGGATGGCAATGTTCTTTAATGTGTTCTTTAATTGTTGTTCAGGCCAACAATTTGGTCCAGACTAAAACATCTAAACAATTGAATCGATTGTCATGACATGTTTTACTGACATTCATGATGTTTGTGATCTGACTTTCCTTTAAGCTCATCATCAGGTCAAAAAGAGTCCAATGCTTCGTGTATATTGCTAAATAGCAAATATTAAAACGGCAAACAACTAAACGGTGGTGAACATGTTCAACATAATACCTGCTGAAAATCAGCATGTTAGCATTGTTATTGTGAGCATGTTAGCATGATTATAATCAAAGCACAGATGTGACACAGTCCTGGGACAAGGATATTAGTCCTGTTCAAAGTATTTGCATGATTTAAAGTCAACATGCTTTTATGATACTTTAACCTATCAGGTTGCAGTAACATCTAGAACCAAGCCCACTTCAGAGCATTTGTCTATTTCTGTAATAAAGCAAAAACATGTTTATTGTGAGTGACATAAGAATAGAAAAGGTAAATATGTTATGGATTAAAACTTTATTTAGACTAAATACAAACACGAAAACAGTAAAAACATGTAAATGATATTCTTGTCAAAGCAGGAAAGGAATGTTTTACACCTACTAAAGTAAACATTTCCACACTAAGTAATAAATATCTTCTTGAAGTACACAGCAGTCTTTAGTAAAACAGAATGAACATGGTTGGTCGGTTGCTTTCACAGAAACAAAACAGGCACTTCTATTCTAAAATGGTATAAGCATGCATAACTACAGCACTGGATATATATATATATATATATATATATATATATATATATATATATTGTAGCATTCATCTCCAGAATAAAATCAGTGTCACTGATAAGTCAACCTTGGAAAAACCATTAACTGAAAAAACAAAACATTCATAGTCGAGCAATACCCCCAAAGATTCCCTATTGAAAACAATATTTTCTCATTTGAGAAGAATAAATGATACACCGCAGCTCTTTTGAAATATCCGGAAACATGTCTCCTGCTCTCTTTTTTGTTTCGCAAGACCCTGTCATTTTTTGCATCTTGCTTCTTTATTTTTAACTTGTATCCCCACTCCCCTTTTTTTATTTCTTGGTCTCTTCGATCTGCTCCACCTCGCTGGACTCGTCCACCACTTTGCCGTTGATCATCGTCTGAGTCACCACCTTCACAATTTTCCTGGTGCGAACATCAGGCTCCTCTGCACAGACAGAGATGAGATGGGATGAGATCAAATGAAATGACATGAGAAGGGATGAAATGGAGAAGAACATATTCTTTTAAAGTATGATTTTAAATGAAATTAGATCAAATGAATTGAGATGAAATGCAGTAATATGAGAATAGTTTTGAGTTTGATTTACACAGGATAGGTAGTAAACTGCGATAATCCAAGTGAGAAGAAAGGATTGGTGATATGAGATTAAGTGGAAAGAAAAAACAATAAAATGATCATTTAAATGTAGAAGATGAGATCAAATGAGACAAAATATGAAAAGATATGGTGAGAGAAAGGGGGGAGAGAAGAGACAACATGGAGGCAGTTAAATGAGAAGGCAAAATAACATTTGGACTCATATTACTATTCTTCAGTCACTCTAACACTTATTTCTCCTGATGTAGTTGTATGTGTTTCACACTGATCTTCACCAGTAATTAACAGCTTAAGGACTATGTGCTTTTTTCACTAAAGACACAGTTTGTAAAAACAGCTTTAAATGCTTAACGATCCTGTCTCACGAAGGATTCTTAAAGGCGTTGATTCTGTGTCGTCTTTGGTCTGCTGATGGTGAACATAACCACAAAACCTTGCAGTTTGTTAATCCAGCATGAGTCAGTGAGATTAGCATGCAACAGTTACATAATTGCGATAAATATTTTCACACCCATATTTGTTGCTATAGGAGCTGAGCTGTTTGTGTTGTTTGCATTGTTTTGAGGTTCATGAAAGAGACATTATTCCTGGGCAGCTCTGCGTGTGAATGAATATTATGTTTGCTCAACTTATCTCGTTTATTGTCCCAGCTTTAGTCACTCTTTACAACCCTGGTGTTTCCTTTAGGTTGTGATAAATTGCAGATAGAAATGAGTGAATGAGCAGTGCTTTACTCTTTGATGTGCTACATGCTTTTTATAAAATACTGTGCTTGGAAGTTGTTCCGACATAAAAGCTGTGACTTTGCACTTTATTTATCTCAGTAAAAAGTACTCACTTTTTGGTGGAGGAGGGACTTCCTTGATACTGAGGGGCAGAAATGATACATGTCAGAATAAACAGATTTAAAAATTGACCTAAAATCAGCATTTGCATTTTTAAGAGGAACAGTTGTGCATTTTGGGAAAAACAGTTTTCCTGTTACTTAGATGAGAACCACTCGTGTATAGAGGCACTATGAGGCTAGTTAGCTTAGCTTGGAATAAAGACTGGAGGAACAGCTAACCTGCCTCCGTCCAACGTAATAAATTCTACTTACTAGTTTCTCTAAAGCTCCCTTATTAAATCATATTTATTAAATTTGGTCAAAAACTAATTGGGAAATGTTGTTGTCACAGTGGTACTTTGTAAAGGGCCAAGCTAGTGGTTACCCCCTGCTTCCAGCCTGTATGCTAAGCAAGGCTAACTGGCTGCTGACTGTAGTGAACTGATATGAGGGTGCTGTTTTGAAGTCTGGCTCTCATTCAGCCATGTTCCTGGTGAAACTCACCTTTCTTCTCCCTCCAGCAGGCGCCTGTAGGTGGCGATCTCCATCTCCAGGTTCTGTTTGATGCGGAGGAGCTGCTCATAGTCGGTTTTGGTGCGCTGCATGTCCAGCCTGAGCTGAGAGAGGTCATCCTCTAGCTGGTTCAGAGTGGCCTGCAGACGCTCCATCTCAGTAGAGTACTTCTGACCGGTCTCACCCAGGTTACCTTCCAGCGCTGCTACCTGAGACAAAAAAACAACAATAATAAGGCCTAACCTGCCTTTTCCACATTCCTAGGTCTAATGTTACCATTCTGTTGCCCATCATCATATCAGTTTGGAAGGTTAAATGACCGGTGACCTGGGAAATGCCCAAAATTATTCAATCTTTTTCTTTTCAACCTCCTCACATTTCATCAGAGTGTTTGCCAGTCAGTGGAAATCAAACCAGTGTCTTCTGATTCTAAAATTACTTCCCAAACCACCATCAACAAAAACCTGAGCTGACATGGCCTTGGCATCCAAAACAAACATTCGCTGTGCAGACATGATTACCTGTTTCGCCACAAAAACCCAGCCCCATACACTTTAGCAACTGAACCTGCTATCTTCTTGCTCGACTTATTAGCGTGGGATAACATGTTGACTGTCAACACAGGATTAGCCAAGAGAGAAAAACTGAAAAAAATGATTTTAGTCAGATGCAAAAGAACGTGAGACAGAATCTGAACTTGTGTAAGGATTTTCTGCATTGGTATTTGACAAATCCCCTCTAAATCAGGCCTTTGTTAAATACAATGCCATAACTAATTACGGCTCTGTGCAAATGTGACACTCATAACTATGTTTTAAAATCTGTGTTGTGGTGTTTGCACTGCTTTATGTGGATTTCATTTAGTTTGCACAGCTCTATAAACACACACACACACACACACACACACACACACACACACACACACACACACACACACACACACACACACACACACACACACACACACACACACACTTACAACCATGTCCAGTTTCAGCATTTCTCTGTTACCTTTTTGTATCTAACTGTATGTAGAATAAAGTCCTCTTCCTATGTTTCTTGTGAGTGTTCCTTGGATATTTTTGCTCCAATTGCAACCTTTGTCCTCAGGCGTAGCAGCTCACCTGTTTGTGCAGACTCTCCAGCTCCACCTCCAGGTTCTGTAGGAAGCGCTGCCTCTCCATCAGCTCCCCTTGAGCTCCTCTCAGGGCCTCATTGCTCTCCTTCACCTCATTCTGCACCGTCTCCAGCTTGTTGGGACACAAAAACACCAGAATACACACGCACATGAAATACGTTGTGTTATTAGATGAATTTGGCAATTGGGAATTTCCACTCACTCTTCTACGAGATGTGTAAATTAAGAATTTGTTTTTCACATCGTTTCAGAAAAACGATTATAATGATTATTCTGACATCAGACTGTAACTGTAGAAATTAAAAATATTTGTCAATCCATCAACAGACAGAAAAAAGACAATCATTTTGATGAAAAATGTTCAAGCATAAACTGTAAAAAGATTGCCAAATATTTGCTTGCTCAAGCTTCCCACAGGTGAGGATTTGCTGCTTTAGGGTATTAGATTTTTGGTTGGACATACGAAGACGTTACTTTGGCCTCTTAGAATGAATTCCTTATATTTAGTTTTTTTCTCCTCACCTTCTTGAGGTACCACTGCTCCGTTTGGTCCTTATTCTTCTTGACAATCCCCTCATACTGGGAGCGCAGGCTGGACAGAATGGTGCCCAGCTCAGGCCCGCTGGCTGAGTCCACCTCCACATTCACCTCATCTCTGGCAATACGGGACTTCATCTGCTCCAGTTCCTGCAGTTGGGGGAGATTCAATACTTAGATCCTGAATTATACTTTATCAAACTGTGTATATTGACAAGAAACATGAACGGTTGCATTGTCTCATGTCTAAATAAAATCCCATATGTGTAAATGAACAGGCGACATATCGGAGCAGCAATTGGTTTGTCAATTCTACACCACACGTTGGCATAGAGGATGTGAGGACATCTTTATTATTTAGATGCTCTCTATCAATAGTTGATGGGGCAGATCTCACCTTACCTCACACACACTAAACTCTATTCATCCATATTCTCTAGATCTCTTTCACTCTCGCTTCTTTGTCACTTGTGGCATTGTGTCATGTCACACATGTTTTAATATGATATGGTGTGCATTTAATGTTCTTGCTAGCCTACATATACACAATCTTCTAGGCTTTGTTGAAGAATACAGTAATTGTATCCTTGCTCTGGAAGGGGGTGCACGAGAGATGTGATCTAGTTGCCTAGGTATGTCAGTGGGGGGAAAGTCTTTATTTTCAACAAAAAGGCCTGATATTCGTTTCAAAGCTGAGACACACAGAGGCAAGGTACAAAACTTTACATGTTGTCAAATCAAACAAACAATAAATGAAATAAACATAGGTGTCACACATGCAGGATAAATGTGCTTTATATATTTCAGGATTAACAGCCAAAATAATCCTCTCAGTCTCATTTAGTCGATAACAAATATCTGCAGTAGGTGATGAATTGGATCTGTGCAGTTTTATTCACATCCTGTTTCTGTTAGTAGGAGATCGATACTTCTCATGGTGAGAGGGGGTCAATTATTTTATCTTCATATCCCCCCCAGAGGACGACAGGGATCATCTGATTGGGCAGAAACAGCAGGTCTGTGAAACCAGATCTAACTGCTCCTTTAATCTGTAGTAACCAGAGGCCCACCTCTTTCTCTCCTGCCCCCCCTCCCTACACATATCTGTGTGCTTAAGCTCCAAATAAGACCTCTTGAGGCCACTAAACTGGGTCAGCCTGAAATCAAACAAGTTGTTATTTGCGATGGCAGGTTGGAGAACAAGAGAGAGGGCCAAAATGAAAATGAGAAGAGGCAAATGTGGAGTAATGGAGAAGTTAATGTGGTAAAGAGTGTGTTAAAAGACTAGCAGACAGCACAAATGTGGGCAAAGAAGTTAAGAAGTGAGTCCAAACAAATAGAGTTAGAACAGACTCACCTCCTCGTGATTTTTCTTGAGGAAGTACAGCTCTTCTTTCAGGCTGTCCAGATCTCCCCTCAGGGAGGCGATGATCTGCTCGTGGTCGGTCTTGGCCTTTTTCAGAGCAACACAGTCTCGCTCCACAGACTGACACATCACCAGCTCAGTCTCCCACCTGGTTTATTTCAGATAAATAAAGGAATAAGTTGTTTATTTACTTTCTTTTTTAATGGCAATAGCAAATGCCTTATGAAGTAACATTTAAACAAGTATTTTCTATTTTATTTGTATTGATTTTCGTCTCATTTCATCTCTTTGTAATCATTAAATACAATACCCAAAAGTTTCTATGTCCCTGGTAGATTTTAAAGGACAGGAATAGTATAGCACAGTTGAAGCAGTAAAAGGTAATCGTTTTTTTCAGTGATAAAAATGATCTGAATCATAAATGTGCATGAAATACCTCAACAGATTCAACATGATACAAAAAGACTTCATCTGTTTAATATGAATGTATTGCTGCACAGGTAGTAAAGCCTAAATCGAACTCTAAAGGGCTCTTAAAGGCAGTCAATCAAATAGTTTCTGGCAGTTGTTCGCATTGATCCTGAGCCACTCACTTGATTCTGAAGTCATCTGCAGCCAGTTTAGCATTATCGATCTCTAACATGAGACGTGCATTCTCCAAGGTCCTCTTCCTCACCTGGCAGACATTGGCGTGGGGAAACAATGTTTAAAAAAAAGGGTAACCCATTCCATTTTCATTAAACTGTAACTTTTGTGCTTGGTCAACATAGCATAAATAATGATTAACTTTACTCAGGTTTACAAGTTAATCCAAAGATCAAGTGTAGGGGAAATTCTGCCTCTGAGGAATCTACTGATGCAGCTCCTGCGAAAAGATGCGTCCATGTGTCCATGTTTGCATAAATGTTTTGTCTATGTAAAATATCCAATGACATCATAACCTTGAGCCTTGTTCCTTGACAGAAAACTCATATCTGGCTGCAGGTCTGAATAATCTCCATGGGCTTTCAGCATTCCTTTATTTTAAAATGTTATATGTTTTTGCCCGTCCCTTCATGCCTACCTCTTGCTCAACAGCATGAGCTTGGGCCATCATGGAATCAAGGTCATGACCTTTGGGGATGCGGTCCAGCATCACCTGCTTGATCTTTGTCTCCAGGTCTGCGTTGGAGTGCTCCAGTGAACGGACCTGGATGAAGACAAAGAGATGCGAATTAATGATTTCAGTGTTTCAGTTTGCTGCTAGTAACATTTCCTTGTCTGCATGTGGGCCATCGCCCATTTGGCTGCTGAACAACAGTTTAACAGTGCTGTTAATGTTTTATGTATCAGACCTTATCCAGGTAATTAGCCAGACGGCTGTTGAGACTCTGCATTGCTTCCTTATCGTTGGTGCTGTTGCCATGTACGCCGTTAAGTTTCAGGCTGATTGGCCCGTTGAGATCCTGGCCGATGGAGGCCGAGCGGCTCAGAGGGCTGGACGTAGCAAAAGATACAGAAGCACGGGAGCGAGCACGGCCAGTATCCATCAGAGAGCGACTGGAAAAGGAAGGCTGACGGCCCAGAGAGAAGCTCCTCACCGACATGCTGGAGGCCATGACGAGTTGCTGTCAGGACACAAAGAACATCACAGAGAAACGTTGGGGGGGGGGGCTTGTAAAGACAAAATTGAGGCAAGACATAAAGGCATAATCAGAACAAGAGTACAATTTCACATGTAACATTCATCACAGCTGCGAAGAACTCATCTCTCTTTATAAAGAGTGGATGGATGTTCAAATTACACATCATAAGGAAAATACATAACTCCAAATGACTGTTTGACCTGTTGCAGCCATTCAAAGCTAATGTAACATGAGATATGGCTGAAGAAAGCTCTTGTTTGGCCCTTAAGCAAATGTATTTTATTCAAGCATTTGGCTAGACTTAAATACAAGTAGGGGCTTATATTGAAGGCCACTGAAAATGATGAAAGGAGAATTTCAAAGAGTATATCTACGGCCATCTAGTGGCTTTTCAAAAGATCCATCTGCATTGAAGAGATGACTGTCTTTACGGTCAGGGCCACTTCAGTCTGTCCGTCTCGGATCCGTTCAAATGCAACTTCAACTCAAGTCAGTGTAAAATAAAAATGCAAATGAGCACAGTTCAACCCTCGGTCAAAGGAGAGCCTCTTACCAGAAATGAGAATGCACTCACATGGTTTCATTACTATGATAATGAGGTGCATTTTATATTCAAGAAGAAGCTAATGGAGGATTCGTAAAAACAGAGAAAAAGGGGGGGATGAAAGATTCTTCACAAATATAAAAGCAATCCTAAACCTGAATACTACTGGTGATGGTGTTAAATGTTATCAAATGTGGCAAAATGTAAAACATGTTTAAAGGTTATTTCTGTGCTGATGAAGTGCTTTAAGCTTCTTCTTTTTTTTTTTAAATACCTAATGTTTTCTTTCCAACCTCATTTGATAGTAAGTTTAACAGGTGTTCACATTACTTCCTGGATTTAAAGTGTCACTAGTTAGTGTATAAATGTCAAACCTAGACAGTGTGTCTTTGTCTCTGTCTTTGCATGTCCCTGTGTCTCTCTAGATTAGCGGTCAAGGGAACCTCTCTGTCTCTCTGTCACTTGATCCTTGCAACACCGTTCCCACAACACTACAAAGGAGCCAGCAGGAGACAGACAGTCCTTGTTCAGATGAAAGATAGAGCTTGGGAAAATTATCGGAGAAATATTCAGAGTGAATTCCAGTTTCACAAGGGCACTTTGTTCAGCAGGAAATGGACTTTCATTTCATTTTTCTTCCCTAAATCATCTTATCATTAGCAGACAAATAGTTCTGTTGACAACTGCTAAATGAAATTGAACATAGAGATAAGATCAATTTGCCTATAAGTGGTAGGAACGTTTCCCTTTAGCTTTAATTTTTATTTAGATTAATGTTTTAAAAAAATATAATTACATACATTTTAATGATCCCAACTTTTAAACATAATAAACAAACAAGCTAATTTGTTTTATTATTATTTTAATCAATATATAAAAAAATATCATTTCTAAAAAAGTATTTTACTCACCAACGTTTTGTTGAGATGGAGGTAGTGTGATCGAGGTAAAAAGTGGAGGATCTGTGCTGCGGATGCTACAGGTGAGCTTATATGCAGGTGTACCGGAAGTGGGAGGAGCTAGCTCTGAACTGAAGGTGTGTTTAGTGTAACTGAAGGTCTTCAGAAAGGTAGATGTTGAGTCTTGTAATGAAACAAACCTTTTCTTCCCACCCCATGCTCACTTTGGGCCTAGTTTATGAGAAGGCAGTTACACTATACCCCCCATGTATACTAGTGGGGGTTGTGAATACTAAAAAAACACAATACATACATACCAACATTTCTTCTTGACAGATATGTGTTGGCAGTAATCAGCTTCTACTTCTCAGCATCACTGATCACAGTAAAAAAGCATCCCTACTCCTGTATCTGTGATATTAAATGTCTCATTATCATCACCATGCCTTTACTGTTTGAAGTCTTGCCTGGAGATTTCTCTCCTCCTGTCCCGCAGTCAGTCATCGCTGCAACCTGAGCCTACCTGTTGGAGATAAAATATTCAACAAGTCGCTCACAGGGAAAGAAAACCTTCCGGCAGAAGGGCTTTGAAACAAACATGGTGTAACCTCATAGTAGTTTTACATGGAGACACAAAATATATAAAATATTGAGAAAATTGTACTCTGTAACAAATGTATCATGTTGTAAAAGTTGTAACTTTAAAGATTAAGCTACATTTAAGCTAAGAAAGTTGTAAAAAGAAAGACTAATTTACTCTTTACACAAATACACGAGAAGACAAACAGACCTTGCTGTTTTCAATATTTGCTTTCATTTACTACACACACACACTCTCATTCTTACACAGCTCATACAATGAAGGACTGCTGTAGTCTATCCTGTTACTATGACTCTTTGAACTTTGTCCATGCAATGTCTGACAGAAGCATAGAGGGATGTGTGATATTAAAAAAAAGTCTGGGTGAAACATGTGCATCCCACATATTGTCATATTCAAATTGCAGGATAATCCTTGTGTCTCTCGGCATTGCAAATGTTTTTATTTACATTTACAAACATTCTGCATTTAGTTCCTGCCAGTTGCTTTTGAGCAAAAAAGCATAAAGCTTTCTTATTGTTATATTAGTTTATTAGTTTTTTTCTTGTATCATTACATCCCGTTTACTAGCTACAATTAGGAAACACATTACCTATACAAAAAAACAACTTTTAATATTAATTTAGCGTTTTTAACACCTTAGAGATCATGCAGTGGTCACATTTCCTTTTATTTCTAAAATCCTGTTGCCTATTTAGATAAGCACTTTCGAAGAAAAATGGTAACCTGAGGTTTAAGAAGATTACAAAGACTATGCACACAAACAATTCAAGATGCATGAAATAAAAAAATACACAATATGCAGCATGTAGAACATACTATCAAGAATCAAAGTTCCAAAATGATTAAGACGGTTAATAATTTTAAGAATTAAGCTACATGTTAACTGTCTTTAGAGGACGATAATGATCTTAGTGGTAACATCCTAAACACTGTAAACAGTGATGGAAATGGACAGCAGTGTCATGCAGCATTGGCAAACAGCAGAACGACGATTCGAATGCACAACTCAAGAGACACAGGTAAAGGTTAATTTTAAACTAATAAAGTTCTTCACAAAGGTCATTGTCAAAAGTAATGTCAAATGTTTCCAAAACGCAAGGCAATGGTCAACCACGGTAAGCACCAGATAAATAATATGCAACGCTTAAGACGAGCTTCTGCAGACAAAGGGGAGGATAAATACTCAAGGAGGTAATGAGGTATAGTTGAAACTAATCATGACGTGGTGAAACTAATCATGACGAGGTAGCTAATCACACTGGCGGGAAGCAGGGAAACGCACGAGGACAGTCTCTGAAAGAGATGTGAAAATAAAAGAGGAAATAACTTACAAATTGGAAATGAGAAAACACATAACACTAATCACGGACCGGGGTCCAACAGTCTAACAAGAACACTGTTAGGTTTCATAATGCACTGAGATAAAAGTAAAAAAACTAATACAAAAAACTAAAGCTATTGTTTCATTATTGCAAATCTCTCTAGGTTCAACATGTTGTCAGTGCCCTTGGTGTATATTCCTATCAGACCACATGTCCTTCTTCAGTCGGTTATATATCGCCCCTCTGTGGTGAAGTGTGGTCATTACAAACAAAGCAGTAGTCTCCCAATACTTCCCAAAAGAGGGCAGCAACAAGCTTTGCAGTATAATGCCAGCTTCATTCTCCTTAACCCAACAGACTGCCTTAATTAATTTTTCCATGTGTTTAAGCGCTTGAAAAATGTGTTATATATAGTATATAATTATCTTAGTAGCTGCACCGTTTAGTCAAATATAAATATTTGCATCATTTTATGCACACTTCCCCAAATCCATATTTAATTCTTAACATATTTGGTATCTTTTATCACTTCTGGATCGGCAAAAGAAGTTCTGTAGATCTGAACAAGCGTGGCGTGTTGCAGAAAAACCATTGGTAAATATTAGATACACATCCCCTGCATGAGATCAGTCATGAACCTGAATCCACCTCTTGTCTTAATGTCACTTTGACACTCTCTCTTTCTTCTCGCTCTCTCTTTTTCTGCAAGTGTGGATCAGAGTTTGGTTGTTAAAATAATAAACAGGTGATTAGACTTGCAGGATGTCAGGATACTACTCATGACCCCACTTGACCCTTCATGACCCCTGTCACAAGCGATCATGTGACCATGGCAACAAAATGCACACACAGGCAGAGAGGAGAGCATACACTGTGATGATTGAGACACCCAGGTCAGGTCACCACTTTCATTAATGCACAAGATATTAAACTGCACAGACTGGAGAATGATATGGTATATTTGGATGGTGAAACATTTGAAATGCACTCTGAAATCAGCATGACAGTTTAGCACAAAAAACAAAAATGTATTTTTCCCCCTTTTTTAATAAGCAGTTTACAGGGGATAATTGAATTGTAAGTTGATGACACAACATGACGCAGAGGGACGCAGCAACCAAGGTCATAAGGGAGAACACACACATGTGACAGCCAGAACAAATATAAAAGCATTTAAAACACCATAACTCCTGTAGAAACAGATTTCTTGTTATTTTGGTCAAAGTCCTGAAAAAAGGACTTCTTGAAGAAACAAATGCCTCCAGCATCATGCTGTGCAACATCCTTGCTGCTCTGGCCACGGACATGACTGACGCCTTTCAATAGTCATTTTGCTCCTGAAGTGATTGCTTCCTGTTACAGATTTGTTGCTGGTAGGACTTACGTGGGTTTTGATGTTGGCTGGCAGGCAGACAGACAGACAGAAAGACAGACAGACAGACAGACAGACAGACAGACAGACAGACAAGAAAACAAACATAGACAAACAGAATGTCTGACAGACAGACAAGATAATCTTGCTGTAAATTCACACAAGCCATTATGTCAACTATTTCCCCCAACTCGACAGCATTTCTGCTGTTTCTGCTCTCTCTGCTTCGTTTCCCACAGTTTCCCATCAAAAGTTTAAATCTAAGGTAACAATTGGAAGTGGATTTGTTATCCCACCAATTTAAGGAACTCAAAGCACCGCTCCACTCCAGACCCTGATTGATGCAATTTGGGGCCTGAGTCACCGTTTGATGGGCGGACGTCAGTACACCAGCCATTCTCTGATAAGGAGATAAGAATCTGCAGCGGAGAAATTACACACCGATAACAACATATGTTAGCAGCTCTGGAGGTCAGCACCTGCCTTTGCTCTTTCTTCTCCTTTTTACTTTGACTGTACTTTTCTTTCCTTGGGTTTTCCTCCCCCTCTTTTTGACTGCAGGTTGCTTTTGTGTGGCGGAAACACGTCAGACTGCTCAGTATGTGTGTGGAGATTATTATCAGAAGGGTTGGTAATATTTAAGATATGCATCTATATGCATAGCTGGTGAGTGTATGAAAAGTTGAAAGGGAAAGAGGTCTCTGTGTGTGAGAGAGAGTGTGTGTTTGTGTGTTATTTAAGAAGAAAACATCACTAAGAGCACACTCTTATCCTGTAGCAGCAGACGAAGGGAGGGCTCACCATTGGGAGCTGCTTATTGGTGTGACTACAGTCCTTATTGATAGCCGAGCCGCTGTTGCAGTTGTGTGAGTTGGTGCCTTGCTCGATGGCAGTAGTCACCTCACACTCCAGCTGTGAGTGTTTAAACAGTTGAGACTCCAGTGTCTTATAAAGGCCCTCTTTTGAGGCTTTTAAATGGGTGATGTTACGTTTTTCTAACCGGTTTGAAGTTGGAAACAAGACCAAAATAAGGTGATGTCATATGTTTATGTGCACCAACCAGGAATTATAAATGTTTGAATCAAAATCTGATGACTGTGTCAATTATTTAGTCATGAATATGCTTTGTTTTTAAGAAATACTTAAAAACAATGCAACGTTTTCATGGACTCTAACATATTTTTTATTCTAGAAAACGACACTGCATTATGATGGACAAAAAATCTAGTACACTATTGTGGATAGCAACACCACCTTTTCCTTTAAAACACATTAGCTTGTTTTCAGGTGGTTTGTTCAGTGTTAAGCATGCTAAAATGTGGACATCAGTGACCTTTTATATAAAAAATGTTTGGCCAGTAAACCAAAACATTGCAGTGAAAATGTAACTCCATAAATTAAGTTTGTGTCATCTCAAATCCTTTGTTCTAATGCAAAAGTGACTGAGGATTAAGCTATAAACAAGACAAGACACAATAATGGCACAGCTCTGATCCATCGCTAATGTGATCATTGGATGTTTGTGTTGAGGGAGAGAGCTCACAATCCAATGTTGCTCAGCTTTCCATCATTTGGTCCCATTAAGCACTGGCAGCACTCTTGTTTTTCCGTTGTTGTTGAAAGAAGCCCTTTCATATTCATATTCCATGTTCTGAAGTCTGGACTGTGGTTGAGTGTGTGTGTGCGTGTGCGTGTGCGTGCGTGCGTGCGTGCGTGTGTGGTGTGTGTGTGTGTGTGTGTGTGTGTGTGTGTGTGTGTGTGTGTG